GATGTACACACATGTCGTTGAACTTCACATCTTACAAATAAGATAGAGGATTTAATAAAATCCATATGAATCCAAGGGTAAAGTCCTAAGCATATACTTTCACGAATACACAAATAATCGTATAGTAATAAGGAAATCCATATAAGGTTATTAGTATAATGATATAAATAAAACGGTCAAGATATAAGAATGCAATCGTAAAGGCATGCAGAAAATAAAAGAATTGTAATGGTGTAGATATCAAGGCATGGACAACGAGGTATAGCTATAAGATGCAGTATTAAGGCTGAAGAAATAAGGACGTAGCTATATGGCTACTCTCTAAAGCTAACTTGTTTCATTAAATTTCAAGAAAAAACAACTAAAAATAACTATAATAATTTTTAAAGGTTGTAGTGATTGAGAACACCACAAACTTTTGGTTTCAGATGATCATTATGACTTATTTTTTCTTAAAATCACAGGATCGAACAATAAAAAATCTATAGCAATTTCTCTTTTTTTTTAAAATTCTTCAAATAGATTTCATTCAAATAATAAGCTTGATTTAAGAATAAAAAAACGTTATATAGAAATATCGATCTTTTTCCTCTTTTAGGTTCTTCGAATGAATTTTATTCAAAGGGTGAGTTACATTAAAGAATGAAAAGCTAAGAGAATACATCCTATTCTGGAATGTTGAACATTCCGGAACCAGTTCCACTCACGGAACCAATTCCATCTAATTCCCGGAATTCCGTTTATCCCATCCGATTCAATTCTGTAACTACACGGAATCCCTACTGATTCCGTCTAATTCCCAACAGATGTGGGTGTGGGTGTGGAGTGTGATGATGATGTGATGAAGATTGAGTTGATGTTGAGGAAGATGATGATTAGTTTTCATGAACGATCTTTAAATGACGTGTCGCTATTTAAAAATATTAGTCGTGCTTATTTGTAAATTTGTTATATGCATCACCAATTCTACTAGAACAATCCTCTTCGTTCTTACTTGGTTCATTCCATTTTGAACTAAACATTTATAGAAATAATCTAACCGTCTACCAATATATTTTTGAATTACAGTATCATCTACATATCGGCCTAATTTCATTAAAAACCTTCAATTCAGAGTGTAGGACATTTTCACATGAAGACCATTTTTAAAGGGCATTTACTCTGAGATACATTTTTTCAAGGACAACATCCTGAGTACTTTTTTCCTGAAGACATTTTTAAAGGACATTCTAGCACGAGTTCGATCCATGCTAGCAACTACAAAAGCAAAGATGTACACTTCACCAACAAAATCAGACCTACGTTTCACAAATGCATTTGACTGACGTTTACTAATGAATTTTAGATTGTCATAGACATCCATTTAGGGAAAATGATGATATTTTTCATATTCGTTGTAATCGCAATGAACTCACCAGCTCATGCTATATACTCATCCACATTTAGCTTAAGTTTACAAGGACATGAATTTCAACCTCAATATGGTGTTCAATTGATTTTTAATAAAGCAACTCAAAGTCTATTATTGTGCGCCGCTACATGTAGTCAAAATCCATCATGTCGGATTTTTGATTATGATTCAAGTTCACACCGTTGTGGACTGTTCGAAGCGGATCTTACCAATGGAGCAATCATTACGATGGCTTCTCAAACGTCTATTGTTGGCAGTATGATACTTTCAGCATCATTATATGCATCGATGTACAATCAATCTTGTTCAGCTTGTCAAGGAAATCGATATCAGACTTGTTCATCGAATACGAACACGTGTCAATGTCCAGGGCATAGTTATTGGAATGGTAGCATGTGTCCATTACAATTATTTGAAAATGCAACTTGTAGTCAAATTGATGCTTGCCGAAGTGATCTTAATCTTAGTTGTATCATAAATTCCTATGGCGAATTCACTTTATGTTTAATAGGTATTAATTTATTTACTATTTTCGTTTGCGAAAACTTAAACACAGATAAAATATTTCACTTTTTCATAAAGTTGAAATGATGTTTTGATAAACAAAGATCGTTCAGATAGAGAGAATGTCTGATTATGCATCGTTGAGATTCAATGATGGTGTTGTCAGCCCTAATTAGAGTTTTCTTTTCGATAAGAATATCCTAAAATAGTTTTTGTAACATCACTTGTGTGGTCCCAATAAAGAGAACTGATCTTTGTGAGTTCAAGAAATATTTTAAAAATAAATCGACAACTAAAGATTCACAGTATTATTGTTATGCCTATGCCTGAGTGCTCATCAATGATATAATATCCCTAATTTTTTCTTAATAACAAATATGCCATTAGATTCTCTATCAATCTCTTTAAATAAGAATGTAAAATGCTATATTATTCATCACTTAGATATTAAAACTAAAAATAGTAGGATGTTAAATATCCATCGAATTTAGTGTTAGTTTATAAGTAGTCTAAAAGTGAAGTCACATGTCTCTCGTTAAGGTGTAACCTCGATCTCACTTCATGAGGGTGTGGGTGTGGGTGAGGGTGAGGGTGTCGGTGTAATTGGTCCCTAAAGTTAAATCATATCCACACCCATGCCCCCTCCCCCGCTTTTGAAAATTATATTGTTTTTCGTTTAACGATTAAGAACTACATTTTTAGGAGTATTTTAGTGAGGAACCCATATGCATAAATACGTTATACCCCCTCTCTGTGCGTATGTGTAGCGGCCGAGATTGAAACATTCACTTAAAATGCGAGCTTATTCAAAAATAAACATTTTGTATGGAATTATTTTTCACTTTGGAGCATCACAATTTCAGTATATATTGATAGTCGATTGCTATTTTCCACGTTTTCAGTGGGCCAGCGATTCTTAAGCTTATTATTCTCAAAGCACCTTGCAATTGAGAGTCAAAAGTCTAGACGGAAATGATATCCATTTAGTATTTGTCCTGAACTGACATTTCCTACTATCACATATCATTCAAATTCACGTAGGTGAATTTATCAAAAGATTTGAGTATTTTTGTCTGGGATTCGTACAGGAACTTGTTATAAATGTCCTATTTTGTGTTTCAAGTGTAACTCGATGAGCTCTATCTAACGATATATTTGGATTTTCATTGCTCAAACTATGCCCATGAAAAACCCTCAGAACTGTAGATTTCCATTAGAATTTCATCTATAGATTCTAATTTTTTTGCCTTAGATTCGCTCAGGAACTTGTTCCAAGGCTCGTATTCTTGCTACAAGCACAACTCATCGTGCTCTATCCAACCATATGCTAAGATATCCCAAAGTCCGAACTTTGAATTTCGGAGTTTCACAGCACCATCTATCGACCAAAACTTGAAGTTCTGACCTTGGGAGATCTGAGCACATGGCTGGATAACGCTCGATGACTTTTACTTGTAGCATGAATACGAGCCTTGGAACAAGTTCCTGAGCGAATCTAAGACGGAAAAGGTCTAATCTACAGATGAAATTCCAATGGAAATTTACACTTTTGCGGTTTTTTCATGGGCACAATTTGAGCTATGACAAATCTGAATACATCGTCAGATAGAGCTCATCGAGGTACACTTGGAACAAGTTCTTGTGCGAATCCCAGACAAAATACTCTAATGTTTTGATAACTTCACCTACGCTTCAAATTCAGACTTCTTTTGTTGAATTCCTTAGAACAAGTCCTCACAAACACTATCGAGATTGTCTATGCTGTATGGAATACAACTGCAGGTTCTACAAGTAATCTTGCATCAAGTGGTACTGGTATTGGAAAATACTATCCGCAACAAGGCCCAGGCAATCTTTTCGATCGCAATACAAATACTAAATATGTGAGCTTTGGTGACTGTAATAATATAACGGCCGGCTCACCCACGTGTGCACAAAACACCGGCTTCTATCTGACACCACAGAGAGGCGCGTCATTGCTTGTCGCTTTTCGATTCGCTACGGCTGAGAGCTATCCACAGCGTGACCCACTAATGATAACCCTTGAAGGAAGTAATAGTAATTCTACCGAACTCACTAGAGGATCAAGCTGGACTTTACTTTACAATGGCTCCTGTGGCATTTCCACAAATCAAATCCGATTGACATATGGATCAACACAGTGGTTACCAAAAACTCCAGCATGGTATTCTAGCTATCGATTTCTGGTTAATTTATCCATGAATAATGGGATATCTATCCCATTCATACAATATTCTGAGGTAGAACTATTTGGCTACTAACTTCTGTATGGTGTTTCTTAAGTGAAAATAAAGTATTAATGACAAGTAACGCTCGGTGGCGTATCTCACTTAACCCTAAACTACAAATTGGTTACACCCTATAAAAGGGACACAATAATAAACTGTTTAGAGGTTTATGAAAGTGTAACGCATAAAAAACTATTTTCTCAATTTTATGATATGTAAAAATATTCATAAATACATAAAGAGTTTATTTCGTGGAACTTCTTTTTTTACAGTACAATCATGCTCTGCCATTGCTTTCTGGATTCCATGCTGATAACTGCCAGAGAAAGTACATAGCTGAGCCAAAAACTACAAAATCTAGTTCATAGTCATGATCTCACGACACGAGAGAAGACCTGATTCTTTTCGTTTGTAATACAATACCACAAAGTTCAACAACACACTTGGCTATCGGTCTTCATCTTTTATTTTTACCTCAACTTCTTATTAATTCCCCCTGCATGATAACTCTAAAGGCTGTGGATGTGTGAGAGGATGTCTAAGTTCAGCTTATCGCAGATCTAGGGGCTAGATCAAAACAAGCTGAAGGAATTTCTATTCAGCATCGAATAGTTGATCTTGATCAAAAATATCATGAAAGTTCTGTAAATGCTATGGAATATTTAGATGGATTATTATTTACAGTAGCTAAGCGAAAGACATTATACATAATCGTCTATTTTTCTTTACTATCTAAATTCGATCACTGTTAGAATGCTGACACTAACAAATATGATAAGACATGCTCTTTCCTGTTCACAACTTTCTTAAACGTTTACTGACTACTTCTCATATCAGCACTACTTTTTTTCGACATTTTCCTCGTTCTACATTTTTACGATTAACAGTATATACCCTCTCCCGCAAGCTGAATGTCTCGAAATTTCACGGCACACAACTTCTGTTATTGCTTTCTTGATATCTGTAAATTACGGCATACTCAGGCAAATATGTATATAGCTTGCTGAGCACGTAGAACAGTAATATAAGTTTACATTATTTTCTTCCTAGAAAATAAACGCCATTATCATCCAACTTGACCCGTACAATGTTCTTCATATAACAAATTCATGAGAAGTACAGAGGGAGCCAATTATCAAGACATTAGCTAGTCGGTCGTCGGCGCCTCTACCAGACATTGGACCAGTACCAGTATCAGTACCAGAACAGAAAGTACCAGTACAAATACTGTGTACTTAAACGTTGTACTTTGTATTTTTATTTAAGTACATTGTAGTTAGTATATTGTACTTAAGAGACGTAACACGAGAAGACCGAACATCGCGGCTGGGCAAAAAATTTTGATTTTGATCTAACCTATCTAGTTTGAAAGAGCGTTCATTATTATACGTAGATCCATATTTTTTCGATTCAAAACATCACAGAAAAATTTTTAAGCGCCACTGACTTTTTCATCCACTATAATGACAAAAATTTTTTTCAACACTTCACTGCTATTCGTATTTTCTCAATATCTTAACAACGGTTGAAGCCATCGCATCCATTCAAGTTTCATTAGATAGTTTTTGATTTACTCTACAAAGTGCTTAGGATTATGAAGCATATTTATACCTGAAGCTCGGAGCTATACCGTTGTAAAGGCAAAAAATCATGAAAATTTTTCTTTTGAAAAATACGACTTTTTGTCACCTTTTCTCACTTTGTAAATCCACTTATGAATCGTCCATTAATTTTTTCATTGCGTCTTGTAGAGCTTTTCTAGCTGTGCCAAACCATAGATACATGAAGGTCGAAAAATGACTTGTACTAGAAGCACTGTCATGCTCTCAAAAAGCAACATGAAAATAATGATCCCAGAGAATACATTTGGAATTTTCATAAAGGTGGTGTTTTTATGGTCCAGTTACCGTAACTAAGAGGATCTAGTGATTTTCTATTCATTAATTTATTCATATACATTAAAGTGCAGTACTTCTACCAATTCATCGGTGAATTCGTAAATGTCCGTCCAAGTCCTATTGAGAGTGCTCAATCAAGATCATTCAATTCGCTGAATTCATCATATATCATGTCGGGCGGGAAGGTTTAAGAATATCATCGTGAACCGCGTGAAAAATATCAAACTTTCGAATTCTTATGGATGTTTTCGGAACATACTGAAAATTGGTGTTACTGCCAATGACGACCTACAGCCACCATTTTATAACTGGAATATATTAGAAGTTTTGAAGTTTTATTTAAGTCAGGTGAATTAGGTGCGTATCTTTCCTGAAACAATTCTCCGTTTCACATTGTTTCTAGATGGCAAGATGTTCATCACACCCAAATGATGGCCTTTCGAAAGCCAGCAAATAAACATACGATACCTCTCGAGAAGTCGGTTCGATTTAGGGTGTGGGTGTGGGTGTGGGTGTCGATGTGGATGTCGATGTCGATGTGGATGTCAATGTCGATGTGGATGTCGATGTCGATGTGGATGTCAATGTCGATGTGGATGTGGATGTGGATGTGGATGTGGATGTGGATGTGGATGTATTTCTATTTATCAGCAAAAACCGACAACCACACCAATCCCTACCCACTATCACACCCACACCCCTAGTCTCAACTCTTACTTTTCAGTAATCGACCAAAGCCGAAAAATGACATAATAATTAGCTTCTGTTCTATTCTCTAACTTATGTGATCACATGTGGCTCATTGATATGTGAGCACGCTTTCTAATCGCACTTCTACCATTGCAGACATATTCAAATTTGAACTTTCTGTTGGTCTATAGTTTAGTAAAGATCATGTTTAGGGTATATCAATGGCGATTCAGATCAAGCCTGAGACGGATTGTAGACATCTTTTTCAATGACAGACACCAATTCGGGCTCATCTAGATGCGATTTTACTTTCATTTGAGCCTGAGTGCACTCCCAGCAATGGTTGCGTCTCAACGAGTTTATATTGAACCGCGTCTGAGCGTAGCAAATGTTTCATCTGAGCTACGTCTAGACGGTTTTTCTCAAATAGAATGCACATGAATAGTGAAGACGTTTTCTTTTCTGCTTGATAAAACAACCCTCATTATGTCTATTATAATATCGGTCAAGAGATCTGCGAGCTTATGTTGTCATCATCGAACGAACGAAAGAAAAATATTAAAAAAAGACACCAATGAACAATTTTTCTTCTGTCAAAATCTATTATCTCTTGCTCAATACACATGCGTTCCAACAATTTCTTGTCATTTAATATATCAACTAAAATTATCATAGTTTTGTTAATAACAATCCTGTAGTTCATAATAATGATAATATCCGACACAATAAGATTTTGGTCAATTTTGGTGACTCTCATTCCATCAACTATCTGCTCGTTATTCGTCCTCTATCATCTACTATTCTATCAAGCTTCTCGTCGAGCTCTTAATAATCATGCCATCAGTATTATTGTTGTCACTGGTTTGATTGCACAAGTAACAGTTTATCCATGGATGCTATATTATTATCAACATAAGGATGCATGGGAAAGATCACACATATTTTGTGTAATCTGGGGATTTTTAGACTGGTCACTTTACGTTGTACACACCGTACTCTTCGGATGGACGACAATAGAAAGACACATTCTTATTTTTCATAATAGTTGGGTATCAACAAGAACAAAGCGATTTTTTATTCACTATGTTCCTCTCATTTCAATTGTTTTCGGTTTATTTATCTTTTATACTGTAATATATTTTTTTCCATATTGTGGCAATTCCTTTTATCCATCGTCTCTTATTTGTGTATATTCATGTATGTACTATGACTATGCAATTTTGATGTCGGATTTCATAGTTAATCAAATAGTGCCCATTTTAACAATTGTTGTGTTTAGTATTGCTTTACTTGTACGTGTTGCGCGACAAAAATATCATATACAACGTACGATCCACTGGCGAAGGCATCGAAGAATTATCATTCAAACACTATCAATTTCATTTTTGTATAGCATCGTTCTAGTACCGTACGTCGTTGTTTATATTATAGGTCGTATATATAATGTGTCAAGTTCTTTGATTAGTGATCTATCTACAGTTACAGCTTTCTTTAGCTACTTCATTCTGCTTCTTTTCCCTTTTGTTTGTGCTTTTTCATCGTCTGAACTGCGAACTAGAATAGAAAATACCGCTCATCTACGGCGACGATTCAGACAAGTTGGTCCGCCAATATTCACTGTCAGAGCCCGTACACAAAATCGCATACATAATCTTTAGAGGATATTTATTCATGTTTATTGTAGTTTCGTGATGTTGTAATAAAAATATTAAAAAAAGTTATTCCCTCGATTGCAGGGAGGGTCATACGAAATAAAATGCGTTTGTTTGCTTGGTTGATTGATTGAGGTTTCATTGGTCAGAAGTTGACCAATCATAAACTAAGTTTCTAATTCCGAGGTTACCGAGGACCTGGACTCCATATGTGCCATCGGATGGTGTGGGTGTGGATTTGAATATGGGTGGCATTCTTATTTGGGTGCACACCCACACCCTTTTCTGACACCCACATCCACGAAACAAGGCGACAAAATCAACTTTGCATTCCTTTCAGTTATTTTAATGAAAGCACAATTTTATATATCATTCGATTTTTGGCTGCATCGATTGCTGAAAAGAATGAGCTGAGACTAGCAGATTGGTTGGTCTTTTCGTTAAGATATAGGTCGATCTCTTTTCGTTTGATTAATGCACTCGCCCTGTTACTTGATGCATTTTTCTTGACTGAAATATTCGGAGAATTACTTGAAATACTGCAATAAATCTTATATCTAGTTTTTAATTTTTTCATGAATAAATATGAACAGTGCTAGTATAATATTGACGTTGTATTTTGTGAAACACGACGTTACCGACAGGTAATCATCTGTCGGTAACGGTCTGTGATGGGTAAATTACCTGTCGGTAACGGTCTGTGATGGGTAAATTACCTGTCGGTAACGGTCTGTAATGGGTAAATTACCTGTCGGTAACGGTCTGTGATGGGTAACATACCTGTCAGTAACGGTATGTGGTGGGTAACTTACCTGTCGGTAACGGTATGTGATGGGTAACTTACCTGTCGGTAACGATCTGTGATGGGTAAATTTTGCCGATCGCAGATCATTACAGTGAGGTGATTTACTCATCACAGATCGTTACAAAGGTGCTTTGTCGATGTCGAACGGAAAGCAATATTGAGGTGTTAATGGTACACAGTTGGATTACTTCCACATATATTTTAATTGATGAATTAACTAATTACAGTATAATTAGTTAATTACCGATAACAGACCCTAACAGATATGCGTTGGAACCGTTATCAATGGGTTAGCATATTCAGGGTGGATAGAGAGGAGCACTTATGATATACTTTGATGAATAGTAATGGGCGTCTTCATACGGTCAAGGAACACATAATGCTACAATATCAGCAAATTTATGACCTACTTGCATTCTTCATTTGTAGGTGATGCATTAAAGTGTAATGAAAGAAAAAGTTCAGAAATATATAGAATAATTTTGTTTTTCTGGTCAGAATTAACAGTTACATCGTGTTTCACATTTTAATCCCAAAGGGATTGCGCTAACAGCTTTTCATTCATGAAAAGTTCCTCCGAGACCTAGTGTAGCTATTATTTATTGTTATCACGCTTGTACACTCTCAGCTGAAACACCAATTCGATTAAGCTACAAAAGTCGCGTGTCTAGAAGTATTTTCAACCTTCCGTCAAAGAAAACATCGCGTTCTTGTGTATTTCAGAGGAATCTTCCTCCACATATATTACCCGACCATATTTGTTCTCATCTTGATGGGCTTTTTGCTGGCGATACATGACGCACTCTTGGTTGCTTAGATCAGCTAAATGTTCGTCGAGTATGCCATTTTCATAGGCATTGATACAGCATTGGTGTTTTGGGTTTCGACGAAACTTTATTTTATTGCTTGATGCTCCTCGAAGACTAGCATATTTCGTCTCGAATTCAATAAATCGACTGGTCGAATGTTCTTTAGTATAAGGACCTTCGTATTTGAACATACCCCTTTCTTTCATAAGCCAGAGACGGCGGTTATCGATGCTCCACAGGTGATTATCGTGCCCGTATATTCGAATAGGCGGCAGAGCATGATAACCGATTTTGAGTTTTAGGTACGTATTAATGAGAGACTCATCGATGTCCATGGTTTTTTTAGTGAAGCGAACTTGCATGAGCTCTTCTTCAGTAACAGGACGAGCAGGTCTTGTCTCGAAAAGTGCATTCCGCTTTTTCTTCCTTTGACACGATCTTCTACTCGGCATGCAAATTTATGGTGATATAAACCTTACAAAAGTCTGCTTGAAATGTTGTGTTGAGTGAAGCTTACATACTTTAAGTTTACAGTAGTGTTTCTCTTATCTGTCCATACTAGCAGCTTTTGCTTCAGTGAGATGGAGATAAAAGAAGAAAAGATAACGACAGCCCTTGCTAACACATTTCAATAAAAAATTCGTCCAAATTTTTTGTTACCACTGTATAGTATGTAGTGGTGAAGAATGAGTACATATCAAGGAGATCAGGATCACTAATGAGACAAAAAGAAGGAATACATTTCTAAACCGTTAGTTAGCGTTTACAATCAATGGCCAGTTTTAAAGCACTGTATTTGTAATTCTTCAGTTGATTTTATATGAAATTAACTCCATTTTTTTGTGAAAAAAAATGTCACACCACTACAAATACACTCCGATGACAGGTTGCAAATCGTCTTCAAATAACAGACGTAGTGGTGCTACGGCTGTTATTCGCAACAAGCTCCACAGAAACACTAGAGAGTGTAGTGCCCACAGATAGTAGTGCGACGAGTGTATGAAGGTAAGATACTACATTTATTTTGTATTCAAATTGAATTTGTGAAATTACAAGTATGCGTCATACTCATAAGAAATACAAAATAGAGATATGGCGACAGGGTGTGGGTGTGCGTTTCAGTGAATGTGACATGGCTACATTGAAAACCAAATCCACTACACGACCAAATTCAATTCGTGGATATAATGTTGTTGAGAGGTTGATATATGCTTATTATAATAACTGCTTTTAGAGAGCGTGAGCATGAGGGATAAATGCAGAAATATAAACACAATTGAACCACACTCATATAAATAGCAGTTTGAAAAAACAGACATATCTAAAACCGGCGAGATTTTGCCTATTGTTGATCGAGGGTCCGACCCTACTAGAAGGGTAACACAAAAGGCGCTCCAGAGACTTACTTCGCAACGTTAGTTCTGTCCCAAACAGGTGCCCTCTAACCGTACTTGACAATAATTTCATTGACTAAAACGGCAGTGCATACATTTGTTTACTTTGTATGGCCTATTCCATGGGGTTTGGACCACAAAAATCCCGCCTATGTTTGAATCAAGTGAATATGCGTCTATCTTGTAGAACTTGAAAAGGTATTTTTATGGTAAAAAAATCAATTTAAATAAACTTTTATTTGGCGAGATATAGTTGTAGCAAATTTAGGAGAAAAATCAAAAGATTCGTAAATTCGAAAAAAATCCGAAAAAATGGCTGCAAGGACTTTTCATCATTCTTTTAATGAAAATTAATTCTAATTATATATTCTTGTAGCTCAAGATCCGGCGCATTTTCCAGTTTAGAGATATTCTTTTATATTATTCCTGACATACGCTGTTTTTAGAACCGCAGTAAAATCCACTACAAAAATGATAATGCTCAAACTTAGCCTTCACGAAATTTTTAAAGCTATATTTGGGAGTCAAATGGCATATCAGGTTTTGTAGCGCAGACTTTGCTCTATCAAACGTTGTATCAGGAATTTCAGCCCAACTTAAAATGGTTGAATTCTTTTTAAAAACATTTTTTAATTCATTAATGCATCATCAAAATAGATCCTACGATTCGAAAGTTTTAATGGACGAAGTTTAGGTGTAAAGATGTTCAAATATAACTAAAATCTACGATAATCTAACATCTCAAAATACATATTTTATGCCGATTGATATATGACGTGTATAGTTTCTATATACTGTTAGTACACTCGGAATCATTGACATAGTATAAAACACTGAGGGTGTGGGAGTGGGGTCTGGGTCTGGGTCTGGGTGTGAATATGGGGGTGGGGGTGGGGTCTGACTGCAACCATCTGCATCCGACTTCTCTTCTTCGACACCAGCACCTGCAGGCACAAACCCTCACCCGACCCACACCCTCAACACCAGCGATGCCATTTACTATGTCATTAGTAAACATTTTACCAAACTTTAGTGGTAAAGAATGTGAAATGCCAACTAAATTTATTATTGAATTCGAAATTCTCGCATCAGGCCTTGTTGGCAATAGTGATGAATATTTACTTCGTGCATTTCTACAGTCATTATCTGAAACTGCACTTACGTGGTATATTCAAACACAACTAGAACAACCTGTCAATAGTTGGACACAATTTAAACAATTATTTATTCGCCGATTTCGAACTCCAGAAAAAATCGAATCTTTACGTGGTCGATTACGTTCATTGTGGCAGAATGATAATGAACCAACTGCTGACTATTTTTAACGTCTTAAATCATTAATGTCAGAAATTGAACCGCAAACATCTACTGATTATATTAAACGAAAATTCCTACAAAAACTACGAAAAGACATACGTGATAAAATGTCACTTGGACTTACATCTTCGTTATCTGATCTTGTTCAAAAAGCTATAGAAATTGAATCCAGCATTATTCAACAGAAAATTGATGATAAACTTCGTGATGTTCATAAAGACAACAACATTAATAAACAAACTTCTGCAACTGTTAACAATTTATATAATGATACTCAATTTAATCCATCAGCAACAACAACAGCAACTTATCATAAAAATACTTCACATAATAATTCTAATAATAATTTCAACTATGATAATACTCAAAATCATCATGCTGATAATAAATATTCACGGACATTTTCAAATTCAACAACATTACCATCTCGATCATCTCAAATTCAAAATAAAATTCAAACTCATGAACAAAATCCGAATCGAAATACAAAAGTAAGATTTCGTAACAATAATCGATGGTGTTCATTTTGTCCCACCACAAGTCACAACTGGATTCATTTGTTATTCTAATCATGATCCTACACGCAATCGTTATTTACGACAACAGCAATAAAATCAACAACCTAACTCATTACGTCATCGTTCTCAACAACAAAATTTTGATGCACAACACCAATATCAATCATCGAATCAACATGAATTAATTCATCAACAACAGCAGCAACAACAATATTCTTCGCCTTATTCATCATCTCAACGATCATCAATGCAAAAAAACATCTAAGGGAGTCAGTAGAAGAGGAGAATCCGACTCCGACAATAATCTCCTCGCCTACTTTATTAGCATCGTCTAAATCTATTCTAAATTCGTCTCAATTAATTTCTTCTACAAATAATAATAATAATGATTCAAATGCATTAGTTACACCTATGTCTTCATCTACATTACCATTTTCATCAAACCATATGAAATGTGATATTACATCGCCTTTTTCAAATCAAATTGATAGTCTCACCACCAACATCTTATCTAATCGCTGAAGCTAAAGTAAACGGTATACGTGGTCTTGTACTTCTTGATACTGGATCCGGTCTGACTATCATTAGTTTTCAACATTGGTCAATTATAGGTGATAAATCAAGTCCATTAACACCATATACTGGACCTGATATTCATGGACCAGAAGGTAGTTCTATTTGTCCAGTAGGATGGGTGACCGTTGATATAGCTATTGCTGGTATTATTATTCAACATAAAGCTATTTTAGCTAAAAATTTCAAACATTTAATTTTAATTGGAAATGATCTTATGAAAAATATTGGAATAGTACTTGATATTCAAGCCAATAAAATGTGGTTACGAACTAAGCCTAATCTACAATATGATATTTCATCTGATCTTAGCAATGCAGGACGTCTCGATGTACCACTACTTTCAACACAATTACGTACTATTCCACCATATTATATGGCATTTATTCAAGTTAAAACACCATCATCTATTTCATCTGTTACTTGGGAAGCATCGGTTAGTGGTGTACATCGATATGTTATTGCTGCTAATTCTTTAGTTCGTATTCAAAATCAATCTTGTACTATTCAAGTTGCTAATTGTTCTTCAAAATCTCAAGTTATTTATCCTGGTCAACATTTAGGAACTGCTGATTTATATGATAGTGAAAATGATGATACTACGCTTGTTCTACCTATTACATCATTATCAACAACATCTACATTACCTTGCAACATTATCGAATCATCTAATCAAATTTATTGTTCTACTCAAGTCAAAGAATCATCTAATAATAATAATTCAATAACACTTAATTCATTGAACTTTTTAACCGAATTAAATCTTACTGATAGCGATCTAACACTACAACAAACTGAAAAATTAAAATCTCTTTTAGTTAAATATGATCAATGTTTTGAAAATAGATTAGGACGTACATCTCTTGTTCATCATCAAATTGATACTGGTAATACTAAGCCAATTAAATTACGTCCTTATCGCGTTTCACCTGTACGAAAAGAAATAATTTCTACTGAAATTACAAAAATGTTAAATGAAGGTATTATTGAACCATGTAATAGTCCATATGCTGCTCCTATTACATTACAACCAAAGAAGGATGGTTCATTAAGATTTTGCGTCGATTTCCGTGAACTAAATGCTGTTACTGTACGAGATGTTTATCCAATACCTCGTATTGATGATACTCTTGATCAACTTCAACATGCTAAATATTTTTCATCAATGGATCTTCGTAGTGGATTTTGGCAAATCGAACTGGATCCAACTAGTCGAGATAAAACAGCATTTATATCTCATGCAGGTCTATTTCGATTTCGTGTTATGCCATTTGGTTTAACTAATGCACCAGCTACTTTCCAACGTCTTATGGATTTAGTATTAGGTGGTTTAAAATGGTCATGTGCACTTGTTTATCTTGATGATATAATTGTTTATTCAACATCATTTGACGATCATTTATATCATCTCGAACTCGTTCTTCAACAAATTCAACAGAGTGGTTTAACACTTAAAATTGATAAATGTCACTTCTGTAAAACTCAACTTAAATATCTCGGTCATATCGTTTCAAAAGAAGGAATTCGTCCTGATCCTGATAAATTAAATGCTGTACGTGAATATCCTGTACCAACAAAATTAAAAGCTGTTCGTACTTTTCTCGGTCTTTCAAGTTATTATCGTCGTTTCATTAAAAGTTATGCTACAATTGCTGAACCATTAATAGCACTTACACGTCATTCTGATTTGAAATCATTTCAATGGTCTGAAGCATGTCAAAATTCATTCGAAACATTACGGCAACGTCTAATCGAAGCACCAATTATTTCTTATCCTCGGTTTGATCAACCTTTTATTTTACAGTTAGATGCTTCTGATGTAGGTCTTTCAGCTATTCTTGCTCAAAAATTAATTGATCAAGATGGCAAAGCTCGTGAACATGTTATTGGCTATGCAAGTCGTACACTTTCTGCATCTGAACGTAAATACAGCCCAACAGAACGTGAATGTTTAGCCATTGTTTATGGTTGTAATTATTATCGTCCATATATTGAAGGAACTCGATTTACTGCTATTACTGATCATAAAGCTCTTAAGTGGCTTCATTCAACTAAAGATTTAAATAGTCGTTTAGCTCGGTGGGCAATACAAATCGCTACATATGATATAGATATTCAACATCGACCTGGCAGTGAAAACGGTCCACCTGATGCTCTCTCTCGATATCCTATTAATGTCAATGTTCATAGAGATGATGATGAATTATCACCTTCAATTATATCTACTATTACTTCTGATTATTTCAATATTAATTACATTGATGATCTATCTACTGTATCATATGATCCTGGCTCTCTATTACTTCTTGATTATTTTCGAAATAATTCATTACCACCACATTCTTTATCGATTCCAATATCTTTAATATCTACTTCTACGAAATCTACTGATGTACTTGATTCAACTATAGCTAATATTCATTTCGCTGATAATATTAATTTGTATGAACAAATTCGAACTGCTCAATGGAAAGATTCATTCATTTTACCATTACTTAATTTTCTTCAAAATCAAATGACACCTACAATTGATAATCTTCCAAAATTTTATGGTTTAGCTCGTTTACATCGGGTAATTGATGGAGCTCTTTATCGTATATTTCATAATAAACATTCATCTGAACGTTTACTTCTTGTTATTCCTTCGTCGGAAGTGACAAATATTTTACAACTTGCTCATGATCATGCTACAGCTGCACATCTCGGACGTCGTAAAACATTATCAAGATTAAATTCACGTTTTTACTGGCCTCATATGCGTCGTAATGTTGCTGATTATGTGAGAGCATGTATTTTATGTCAACAGTATAAACCAACAAATCAAAAACCTGGTGGTTTAATGAAACCAATTATTGTTTCAGAACCATGGCATACAGTTGGTATTGACATTACTGGTCCATTTACTAAGACTCGCCGAGGTAATCATTTTATTCTCGTCGTAGTTGATTATTTTACAAAATGGGTGGAACTGTTTCCACTTCAATCTACTAAAGCAGCTACAATAGCTCAAATTTTCCTCGATGAAGTTTTATGTCGATTTGGGTTTCCTGTTCGTGTTATATCTGATAATGGTGTACAATTTCTTTCGAACGTATTTACTCAACTATGTGATCTTCTTGGTATTCATCATCAACGTACACCTTTATATCATCCACAAAGTAACTTAAGTGAACGCATTAATCGTACATTAAAACCTATATTAGCATCACTTGCTCATAATGATTCAAAAGGATGGGATCTTAAATTATCACAAATTGCATTTGCCTTACGTACTGCTCCAAGTGAATCAACAGATAATTCACCTGCATTTCTTATGTTTGGTCGTCATCCACGCCAACCTCTTGATTTACTATTACCATCTCCACCTGTTTCTGATAATTTACCATCATCTAATGAATTATCTGCTTATCGCAAACGATTGCTAGTAGACTTGATGCCGGCTTACAGAACTGCTCGTGAATTACTTGATATTTCTCATCAAACACAATCTCGTCATTACAATGTTCATCGTCGATCATTAGAATTTAACATTGGTGATTTAGTATGGGTGACAAGTTTATCAGGTATCGCTATGGGTAAATGGCGTGGTGGTAAGCTACAACCAAGACGGGAAGGTCCATATAAAATCATCACAAAATTATCATCTGTTACCTATGAATTAGAACATCTTATTTCTCATAAACGTTTATCACCAATACATATAGAACGACTTACACAGTATTATTCATTCACAGCAATCAATTATTTGAACTGATAATATTTCGTCTGTTCAAAATTTATTCTTTTCTTGTTTGTTCAGTAGCTTGTTTATTTATTCATTGAATGATATTCATCTATTGATTTGTCAATTATTCTGTCCAGTCAACAAATGTTATAATCACTACGTATTTATCCAATAGATATCTAGTCCTATTGGATTAGTTCATGTTCAATTTATGATTCATATCAGATTCACATTTATGTTCAACTACATACTATTGTTGCGCACTGCTTTTATCTCATCAAGTTTCTATCAAAATTATCTTTCATTTATCATGCTCACATTTAATCATTGATTGTTCTTACATTACAAAAATTATACTACAAAAACAAAAACAAAAAAAAAATCTTACAACTTTTGCACGCGATGTAAATTTGCTCGCTGGAGCTTCAGACTTTTCTGTAGTGGGAGAGTCCTGTGACGGCACCGTGTGTCGTCACATGTCTTGTTTCTAATTTCGCGCGAGTTTCTCGCTATATGTTCTTTTTTTCTCTCTCTCGTCTTCATCGCTTTGTCTTTGTCGCGTTTTGAAATTGAATTATGTTATGTTTGGCGCGTCTAGTCAGTTGATACATTTTGTTCTCTCTATGAGAGTGTGAAAATTATTACAAGAGCTTAAAGATATATATAATACATT